AAAAAAAAAAAAACAATCACACATTGAATGAATATTTGCCGTTAGGAAGCATATATGCGTTCGTTAAGACATAACACGGCGGAAGGAATGATTTGCCGGGATGTCACAAGAGGTAATACGATGCAATCAAAGTGAAAATTTTCAATACTAACAATGGTAGGGAAGATAAGGGAAACAAAACGACGAACAACACTTTTTTTTTCTTCTTTTTTTTTTTTGGAGGGAGGTGAGTAATCAATAAATATTGAGATGACATTACCCTCACCAAGATTTTTTTCTTTTTTTTATAAAAAAGAAAAAAGGGTTAAATGCACTCAAGCGCTTCTGTAAATACACTACAGAGCAAGTGAAAACCCGCACCCCTTTTTCAGAAAATAAAAAAAAAAGTCAGTTATCAGTCCTGATGACAGGGGTGAAGAACCACCTGTTCTCCAACGACGCACCATGCATTTTTCAACACAATTGCAAAAAAAAAAAATAGTAAAAAAAAAAAAGTAATGCTAATACCACTACTATTACTACTACTACTACTACTACTACAACTACAACCACCAAAGATATAAAAATACAAAAAAAAAAAATCCTTTACCTATAAATTTATTCATAAAAATCTAAAGATGCACAGCTACACATCAAATGACGATCTCCATAAGCGCCATCGACTCGTCCTACAGTTGGCCAGTACTTTTCAATATATGAATAAGAAGAAGGGAATGCTGCCATTTGTCGACTATATGGTCTATCCCATTTATCAGAGGTCACACATTTTGCAGTGTGTGGTGCATTCTTTAATACGTTATTTTTTGTACACTGTTCACCTTTTTCAATAGCAGCAATTTCACCACGGATAGAAATAAGAGCATCTGCAAGGCGATCCAGTTCTCGTTTCGATTCTGATTCTGTAGGTTCAATCATAAGAGTTCCCGCTACTGGAAATGCCAAAGTAGGGGAATGAAAACCATAATCCATTAATCGTTTTGCAACATCTTCAGCTTCAATCTGAGCAGTTTTTTTAAACTGTCGTAAATCAAGAATAAATTCATGAGCACAAAAATCATGTTCACCAAGGAAAAGAATTGTGTAGTGATTCTCAATACGTTTTTTAAGGTAGTTAGCATTTAAAATAGCATACTCGGTACATGTCTTAAGTCCATGTGAACCAAGCATTAACATAAGCATATATGAAATAGTTAGAATAGATGCCGAACCATACGCTGCCTGTGAAACTTGTCCAAATGGTTGTGAGCCTCCAATTTTTTGGTTAAAGACAGAATTAGGCAAAAAAGGAGCAAGATGTTGACGAACTGCAATAGGACCCATACCTGGTCCACCACCACCATGGGGAATAGAAAAGGTTTTGTGAAGATTAATATGACAGACGTCACCTCCAATAAATCCAGGTCCAGTATAACCAACCATAGCATTAAGATTTGCACCATCAATGTAACATTGTCCTCCATAGTAGTGTACCATAGATGTAATGTTTAAAATATCCTTCTCAAATAACCCATATGTACTTGGATACGTTATCATAATACAAGAAAGTTCCTTTGAGTGTTTTTGGCACAAAGCTTCCAAGTCCTTAATGTCTATTCTACCATCAGGGAGACATTTTACCTTAACCACTGTCATTCCTGCTAATACAGCTGATGCTGGATTTGTTCCATGTGCACTCTCAGGTATAAGACAAACGTTGCGATATCCCTCTTTTTTAGAGATATGATACGCTCGAATCACACGAAGACCAGCATATTCACCTTGGGCCCCACTATTCGGTTGAAGTGAAACAGCATCTAGACCTGTAATTTCTCTTAATTTATGCTCAAGATCTAAACAAAGTGCGCTATATCCTCTTGCTTGATCCATTGGTGCAAGAGGATGTACATTAGTAAATTCAGACCAAGATAATGGAAACATGGCTGCAGCTGGATTAAGTTTCATAGTACAAGACCCCAAAGGGACGCAACCGTGTGTCAATCCATAGTCTTTCCGTTGTAGTCGATGAATATAGCGCATAAGCTCAATTTCACTCTTGTATTTTTGAAAAGTTGAGTGTTTCAAAAAAACCGATTTTCGTACTAATTCTAATGGTATAGCTGTTTTTTGCTCTGCTATATTTGATAGGGCAGTTATTACTGGTAATTTTAAACCTGCAGCCTCTAAAAGTGAGACAATATGTCCTTCTGTTGTTGCTTCGTCTACAGATATAGAAACTGTACCTGTACTATAATCAAGAAATATATTAATACCCTTTTCTACACAACGTGTTACATAGTCCTCTGGTGTTATTCCTCTTAAGTTTACAGTTATAGTATCAAAAAAGGAATTATTTACTACAGAATGTCCTGCAGATTCCATTCCAACTGAAAGAATTTTTACTTTGGTATGAATTTCATTTGCAATCTCTTTGAGACCCTCTGGACCGTGATAGATAGCATAAAAAGCATTTACTGTTGCCAGTAAAGCCTGTGATGTACAAATATTTGATGTTGCTCTTTCACGCTTAATATGTTGTTCCCGAGTTTGAAGTGCCATACGTATAGAAGGATCACCGGCGGAGTCTTTACTTACACCAATAATACGTCCTGGAATTAGTCGTTTAAATTCTTCCTTTACAGCAAAAAAGGCTGCATGAGGTCCTCCATAACCTAATGGAACACCAAAACGTTGTGCAGAACCTAAAACCACATCGGCTCCCATTTCACCTGGAGGTTTAAGAAGTAGTAAAGACATTAAATCAGTTCCACAACAAGTAATAATACCTTTTTTTTTAGCAGTTTCAAATAGTAATGAAAAGTCATGAAGAATTCCCATGGTATCTGGGGTCTGAACTAAAATTCCACAGAGTGATGAATCTTCCCAATCGATCATATTTGGATCCCCAACAATAACTTTTATTTTAAGAGGTTCTGCTCTACATTTTACCATTTCTATACAAGATGGGAAAACATCTTTAGAAACGAAAAAAGTATCTCGTTTTCGGTGAAAATGTTGAAAAGCAAGATACATTGCTTCAGAGCATGCAGTAGCTTGATCTAAAAGTGATGCATTCGCTACATCCATTTTTGTTAAATCAATTATGACAGTCTGAAAATTTAAAAGAGACTCCAGACGTCCTTGTGATATTTCAGCTTGATAAGGAGTGTAGGGAGTATACCATCCAGGGTTTTCAATAATATTTCGAAGTATTACTGGTGGAGTAATGGACTCATAGTATCCTTGTCCAATCATACTCTTTAATACCTTATTACGCGCACCAAGAGAGCGCAAAAGGGCCAAGGCATCTTTTTCACTCATAGCGGTGGACTCCTTTAGTGGCGGTCGCAACACATCATCTGGAACAGCGGCTGTCATTAACTCGGATAGGCTTTCTTTACCAATCGTACGAAGCATAGACATTGTATCGGCTGTAGTTGGACCAATATGGCGATTAATATAACTGTCTGTGGCAGTCCATCGAACAAATGTCGATAGTGTTAGTGCACTACGAAGAAAAGAACGGTACATTCAGACCTACACCCCTTCCGAGTAGTCGAAATTAAATAAATAAATAAAAATAATGAAAAAGAAAAGAAATAAATAGCTCAAAGAATGTTGAATAATCACAATAATAATAATAATAATAATAATAATAATAATAATAATAACTCATATAGTCATAATATCGGTAATAAAATATATACAATACAACCATATATATATATATATATATCCCCTTCACGATTATTTAATGTCACCAAACCGAAGCAATATTTCAAGTTGGGTATTCCATAAAGTAGTCATGATGAAGTGCTTCTATAGCATTTATACGCCTAAGAGGGTCCAAGCATATCAATCTCTGAAGCAGTTCCAACGCTGAGGTTGACGCTTCTGGAAAAAATTCCCTCAATGGACGAGGATTTCTCTTTTCAAAGTGAACCTTCCCCCAATCAGGAAGATGAACTGCAGTTGGCCAAGAGGATGACGTTGGTGTTCCCAGTACTTCAAATATTTTTGACAATTGTCGGATGTCTCCATCACCAGCAAAAAAAGCCCCACCGTAACCCCGCAGGAGTTCTGCAAAAACACATCCAACAGACCACATATCAATTTCTGGTCCATAACGTCGTTGACCAAGTAACAACTCCGGAGCTCTATACCACCTTGATACTACTTCATGCGTCATGGATTCATCCATATCCCAAATTCGACTTAGGCCAAAGTCGCCGAGACGCAAAACACCATCCCTTGTTAAGAAACAATTGGACGGCTTCACATCACGATGCAAAATTCCTTCCTTATGCATGTACGCAACAGCTGAAAGTAACATTTTAAAAAGTTTCTTGGCATTCTGAGAGGGAAGAGGATTGCTTGCACTTCTTCCGGATAGCATTGTGCCCAAATCTGTCGTGCAACGTTCCATTACTAATGCAATAGCGCAACCACATGGGAATACGTCGTGGGTATGAACAATGTAAGGGTGCTTCAATCGCATAGCGACAAGTAGCTCCCTAGCTACAGGGTGAGGAATACCCTCATCAAGCCTAGATAGAGTAATCATTTTGATCGCAACAGGTGCTCCAGATTCTTTAATCAAAGCTGCACGAACAACGCCAAAACGGCCTTCTCCTATTGGAGGTCCAAGTATAAACTGATCCATAAATCACCTTTTTTTAATTTTTTTTTTTTTGTTATTCTGCTTCAGTTCCCTTTTTGCGCCACTCTACACCTTCCCCTAGACCATCCTAATAATAAGCAAATTGAGAAAAGAGAAACATATTTTCATGATGACATAAAAATGGGAGAGGGTATAATAAAAATAGAGCAAAATACATTTCTTTAAACCTCTTGGTGAATATTCCCATATTCCCAGAACACATCTTTGCTTTGTTAATTATTATTATTATTATTTTTTTTTTTTTTTTGGTAATGATTTTCTGCTACTTTGAAAACTTTCTCGTTTCAAGAACCTCTGTCTTTGATATTTTTTCAGCACCCGACTCAGTCGAGAGAAGTTTTGCCCGAGCAAACATACTTATTTTACCCTTTTTAGGAATCTCATGACTTGTCTCAACTGGTTGAATTATCTCAGGTATAATTTGAGATTTCATACTTTCTGTCTGAGTTTCCTCCTTTATCGCTGCGACGCCAACATTACTTATCACATCTATGGGGAATTGCTGCTCCACAGTAGCGTTACTGGAGGAAAGAAGATCATCCACACTTATGAGTAGTGCTTCCACAGCAGCAGCAGAAGGATTATCATCATCACTAACACTCGTTGTACACTTTTGAAGAATACCTGGAACACCAGACTCTACAGATACTTCCTCAACAAGAGCAGATTGACTAAGGGAATTTTTTTTTCTTAAAAGCTCACTACGTAACGCATCCGTAACTGAACTACAGTTTTTCTTTGCTGTCGCACGAGGTAAAAGAGGAATTGGGGCCCTTCTACGCAACGCAGAAGATCCGACAGATACTGGTGCAACTGAGCTATTTGTTTGGTACATTCGTATTTCTGCGTAACCTTCGCGTGGAGCCGTTTTATCTTTGCGACTAAACATGTTATCATATCTCTGGCGCTTTCCCCCCGAGTGTGAGAAAGGAGTTACATTCTCATCATTATTATCATCATCATTGCCTTGTTCACTAACATCTGAGTCATCCTCCTGGAAAGTATTTTGTTGATGCCGCGCCAATTCGCCCGGGAGAGAAGTTGAAGCAAGTGACTCCTCACTATTCTTATCGTGGGAAATAACACCAGAGTTATTAGTCTCCTTGCGGGCCCTCTTGAATTCCTTCAAAAACCGAGAAACGTCCATTTTTCTTTATCAAATCAAAGCTTTATTATTATTATTATTATTATTATTATTATTATTATTATTATTATTATTATTATTATTATTTTGTTTTGGTAATTGAGATAGCAGAGAGGGGGAAAAAAAAGAGAGAGAAGTAAGTTCAGATGAAAAAAAAAATAATAAACTCGAAAATTGGATTATTTTGCTACAGTCAGGTAATTTATTCTTTTTTTCCTTTTTCTTTTTCTGTAACACTGCAGGTTGGACACAAAGTGATTCATATTTCACTTGGTGAACGGTAAAAGTAAAAAGACACACGCAATATCAAATAAGAGATTCCCATTCTCTACATTTCGCCCTGTAGAGAGCAATGCAACGCTGCAGCGCTGATCACATGACACACGTGAGCGATTGCGAGAAGGAAAAAAAAAAAAAAACAATAATAATGAAAAAAGAGGGAAAGGAGACGAGAAGGGAGCATGAAAAAATTCAAAGGAAAAGTGTCAAAAAAACAAAAACAGTTCAAGGTCAACTTCAACAAGTAAAATAATGAAACTGGTGTTTAATCAAGAACCATGGCCTTGTCGACAATTTCAACTAAATAAATGAGAAAAAAAAGTCATATGAAAATACACACGCAAATTAATACTAATACTAAGACTAATAACAATACTATATATTTATATACTTAGTATTGTTATCCCATGATGAGAATAATAAGAATAGTACTAGAAGCAGTGGTATCATTAGATTACTACTGCTCCATACCCTCCAGACTACTATCACCATGGTGTTCAGTGCAAAAAAAGTAGCGAATGGGAACTTCATCTCTTGCCTTCATCATTTCTAAAGGAGAAAGTGTAGAAAGCACCAGGTGGTTATACTGAGACAGAACATCAATTGCATCAGCGTTATCGTCGATCACAATCGTCTCTGTGAAAAACTTAAGCTTTTCTAATAAAATATCTCGATCGACATCTGTAAAACTCTTAAAAGGTCCCTTCTCCAGTCTAAAATACGAATCCACCAGACGTCTCACAAGCATCATCATGCTTTCTCCCTCAGCTACCGTAACACAGATTACCTGATACCTCGTTGCTGACACAAACAAGAGGACATTCACAACATCTGCGTCTTCAGAATTCCTAAGATTATCTTGTAAAGATGCTATAAACGAAATACTCGTGGTACGTTTTCCATCATCAACTGATGAATAAACACCAGCAATAGCAGCTGAGACATCATCACTACTAGAACTAGTGTCAACATCGCAATAATCATTAAAATAAGCTTCTTCCTTATTACCACTCTCTACTATAACCGATTTTGTAGAATTTGCCACTATTTCAGTAGAGTATGTTAAATGAGAAGCTTCATCACTGATACCATGGAAATTTTCTTCCAGAGACTCTGTATTTTTCTCTAACTGCTTTTCGGTTTTTGATAGTTCATTTAACACTGGCTTTGAAAGTAATGAGTAACACGTACAACAAATACGTTGCGGTTTCTTCGTCTGTAGTTGCGGTAGTTGCACAAATATGTTGGAACAGGAAGCACAAAAAATGCCTCCACAGTAACGGCAGTGGTGACGTCTACAACTAAAAGTAAATGTGACCTCACATTTTTGACATGCCAATATCACTCGATCAGACTTCCATTCGCCCAACACTGAACGCCTGGTTAACATCTGCTGTGTGAGAACCCTAAAGAAGAAAATAATAATGTATATACATACAAAATAAATAAAAGAAAAAAAAAACACAAATTGAAAATTAGGGAAACCAAAGATATAAAAGAAAATAAAAATAAAAATAAAGAACCCCATCACTATTTTTAAATTCCTTTTAGACACGATTAAAATGAGAGACAAAGTTTTTCTCTCTTTCTCTCTCTATCTCTCTTTCATTTTCATCCTTCTTTCTTTTTTACATAAAAAGGGTTTCACTCCTCACGACGGCGTCCCATCCAAGGGCTTCTGAGGCTCTTTTCCATTTCCTACTCTTTGCAGAGGGATCTGAGGTAACCACGAAATATCTGCATTATAAACCACTGAAACATCATCAGTGTCACTTTCACTCATTGAATCATCTGCCAGTGGTCCGTTTAACTTCAAAGGCAGACCAGCATAAGATGATTCCTCCGGCAACAAATTATTCCCAGTAGTGGAATCTGTACCACGCATAACCTCCATTTTTCCTCCTGCAATAAATGTACTTTGTGTTGTCGGTACAGTACTGAAAGACTCATACCCCAGCACAAGATTTTCTCTATGGACAGTATCATGAGCTCGTTTAGTGACATCAAATGTTTCTAACATCACAAACGGCTGCACAAAATCTGAAAGAATCACTGCAGTAGGTTCACTATAATCGGCTTTAGTGTAGGTTGCATACTCTTTACTAGCTGCTTTGGAGAGATTAAGTGCAAACTCAGGGAGTCGTTCCATTTGATACTCTCTGGAGAGAAAGACAAACGGGTTACGTAAAGGCTTTACCTCGAAGGAAGATGTCATTAGAAACAAATTTGGCATTGGGGCTAATCGGTTGGAATGTGCCGGTGCTACACTCATATGTTCCTCCACAACACTGACAGCCTCCAGTAAACCCTCTTGTCGACTGTTCAGTGCAGATGTATCACTTACTTGTGCTGATTTTCTTGTGCGAAGTTTTGTCAGTCGTCTCTTTGCGCGATTATCACACAAGAGCATTCTAAACAATGCAAGCAATGGAGATAAAATAACAGCGCGTCCCTCCAAACCGGTTGTTTCCACCTTCACTTGCAATGGCGTGGCCAATTCACGAATGTGTGGTTTACACGTCACATAATCCCGCCATTCTGCTTGACGTCTCTCGGTATCTTCTATATGCTTCTGAAGCTTTTTTGTGCTAGTGAACTTCGCCCGCCGTTCGAGAATAGACTCAAGTTCTTCAGCCGTTGGCGGGGCTATTCCTTTGCGCAGGACAGTTTTCACTCGCTGTTGCCTTTCAATCATCTCCTGTTGATGAATTTTGTCAAGAAAACTCGTCTGCCCCACAAGCTCTCCATTACCAAAATTAACATAATCACTTACCACAGATTCATCTAAATTGTTACTCATATCTATGACTCTCTTCAGTACAAAGAACAGAAAAATAAATAAGGAAAAATATCAATGTAGTTACATGAAACATATAAAGAAAAAAGAAAATAAGAAAGAGACAAAGGAAGAAAAGAAGAAAAAAAGGAATGAAACAGAAATACCAGGAGTGTGTATAAAAAAAAAAAAAAGCAAAGACAAAGACAAAGACAAAGCTCTTTTTACAACAACACCGACAACAAGAGGATTATATATATATATATAATCAAGAGTCTCAAGAATCACGCCCAGCCATCCATAACATTGGAGCAGAATCACTAACAAACAATACACGTGAACTGGGCCAATTCTTTATAATGTTAGACCGTAACGCCTTAACTAACCACGCAGCGGCTACTCCACCCCCTGTTATTAGAAACACATTAGACACGAATGAACGTTGTGTATATGGGTTGCAGAGAACTAGAGACTCCTCAATAAGCATCATAATCCAATCAGCCACCATGGGTAATGGAATATGTAGTTTTAAGTATGTTGAATTTGAAAGGGTTTCATGTAAATCAACTGCCTCTTCTGCGGCCTGTAGAAAAAGGTCTTGCATGCCACTTCCAATAGTAATAGCCTCCACGACAGGTGTACTATACATTACTGGAACTACACGGGTTGCCTGATTTCCAATGTCCACCACACAACCATTCTCCAACGCCCCGTAAAGATTTAACATCCATGAATGTTGATCCACAATACTGCAGCTTCCACGAAATGTAATGGAGCTGAGCCAACGCAGTACATATTGTGAAAATATGGGATTTTCATCAGCGCTTACCAGTAACTCAACATTTTTTTGAGTCCCCATAAGTCTTGAAGCACAACATAAAACTCGTAAGAAAGAATCCAGTTCTTCTACCGATGTTCCTAGATTAAAACGCTCCTTAAGTTTCTGAACACCTTTTGGAGTTTCAAAGACTCGCTTACTAGGCACATCACCTGAAAAGTACACCTTTGTCAGACGGCTTCCAATGTCAAGAGCCACATTAGACATACGTCACAGGGCACCTACTCTACGAGGAAACACAGAGAACAAATAATAATAATAATAATAATAATAATAATAATAATAATAATAACAAAAAAAAAGAGAAGCGTCTGAGAGAACAATAATAATAAAAAAAAACGAAAACAATAATAATGATAATAATAACAGTAATAATAAATAATATTCCTATAATACTGCATCTTTTTTTTTTTTTTACTGAGCTTAGACTTAAAGAATTTTACGGTTTTACTACTTTGTTAACAGCTGCAGAAGTCAAGAGAAAAATAATAAACACACACGTCGCGTTTAGATGTAATTAGGCTTAGCAAGAAGAAGAAGTCGTTTTCTTCTTCTTTGTGGATGTAGTTGTCCCAGCTGTCGCGGTTGTTGGAGGCAGTGCATTAAACATGGGGAGGGTAGAGCTAAGTGCCACCTTGTTGGTCCTCACCTTCACTTGTGGTGGAATGAGGTTTTTGAGAATTTCACGTTCTTTCCTCCTGCGACCATGAATGCTATCTACAAGAACACGCTCCATCTCGGAGGGCTTCTGCTTCTTGGACTTCTTCCGCTTTACGCGCTGTTTCCCTCTTCTACCTGGCATCCTTTCAGAACTTTTAACAGAATTACTTTATTCTTTTTTTTGTTTAATAAAATAGTAATAATAATAATAAGAATAAGAAACAAAGTATGAAAGTGTGCACCAAGAGAGTATGTGAGTATCACATGAACGGGGAGTTATTTAGTATCCCCTGATTACAGTACATCCATCCCCGCTCCCAAGAAAAACAGAATAGATATTCACAGAGAAAAAATACGGAAAAATAATACATACATATATATATATATTAATAAAAGAAAATAGTAAAAAAGGGTAATTTTACCCAGAAAGCAAAACAACACATATACGTATCAGTCACGATTAAATATACACTTTGTGACAATCTACATGTGTAGGTGTGGGTGTGTATCGCATTTAATCTTGTGTGTTTTTAACTCATACTGGGATCATGTCTGCAATACCAGGTGTAGTCTCGTCAGAACGTTTCCAATCTATTCGAATAGGGTGAAGCGGATCAAAGAGAACGTAACGCTTGGGGTCAAGTGCTACGAGCTTAAGGATCCGAATATAGTTTACCGTGTTCAGCGTTCGAAAACTACGTGATTCACCCAGAATCTTAAAGGCGTCACTGTTAAGTTTAGGATTGCGTTTAGAAACATCAGGGGGTCCTGCTAAAGAGAGCAACAACTGTTGAAACTCCAAAAAAGCCTCATAACGAATCAAATCCCTCGCCTTGTCAGCCATTATATATGAATTTATGAAATGTTTAGAGACTAATCGAAGCTCTCCAGCCAGCATTAACTTACTGAAACCCAGTTGTTCATGCAATTCATTTGAGTATTGCACAAGTTGCCATGAATAATAATGTGTTGAAAAGAAACGAACAAAATCTGACCAGTTTTTAAAACGTCTCATACCACTGGCATAAAACGGTAATTCTCGTACAAGATTTTGTACATGTGAAGAAGCAAGTGATCCAGAGAAATCATCATTGTCAAGAATTGCCATTACGTGATCCACGAGAAGCATCTCCGCTGGCCATGCAGCTACCATATCAACAGGAACACCAGTATCAAGAGAAAAACAGAGTTTCAGGGTCTCTGGTACGTCATCCACCAAAACAGCTGATGTCACGGGATATATTGAAGAGAATAATGGCCCGAGGTAGTGTGACTCAGAAGATGGTAATAACACGCGTACAACCATTCGTCCTCTTTCATTTTCAGTAAGATTATCTTCTTGAAGATGCATTACAAATTGTAGTTCATAAAGCCCATTATAGCGACGTGCTTTACGACGTACAGCAGCCGTGTTAATATGTATAATCATCGCCATGTCAGAAGGGAGATTATCTCCAAGCGAGAAATTAATCCCCTCACACAGTTCATGATTTACAAATAAGACAACTGAGTGCTGTGTCGTGCAAAGAGTGTTAGGAAACATTACAATGCTGTAAGATAAATACAACAAAGTAAATGATAAACCGAATAGAAATAAATAAATAAAACGCAGTTTTGCGTGAAGAAGAAAAAAAGGTAATAAACAAGAATACCCTAGCCTTACTCCCTCTTTAAAGAAATAAAACACAAGAGAAAAAATATTTTGTTTCCATGATTGTTCAAACAAGTTTTGATGCATTATTTACATATCTCTATCAAATCTTTCCCCGATGATGATTGCTAATACATAACAGAAACTAACGAAATGGAAGTGCTGAGAAGCCCTTTTATCCCGCTTCCCGCTCGGGGCGGAGTGGGTTGGGTTGGGTGGGCTTTTCAGAAACTTACTGTTAGGCAGACTGTAAAGATAAAAGAAATAGAATTTGGTTTACCAAAACCCATAAATCTGTAGTTCCAAAAAGTAAGGCTTTGCCATTCTTATCGCAAGCTTTCAAAAAAAAAAAATACTTCAAAAATAAAACTAATAGAGCAAGAAGAAGAAAAAAAAAGGGGGGGGGGAAGAAGATAATGAAGAGTGGAGAAATATGACTGGTTTTTCTTTTCTATTTCAGAGTTTAAAGTAAATTGTATTTAAGAAATAAGAAATTCACAGACGACAATCTATATATATATATATATATATATATATATATATTACGAAGAAGACCTTTTTATATTGCTCCAAAATACATTCATCCTACCAAAGTCTGTTCTTGTCCTTAAAACCAAAGAAGAAAATATCATAGAAAAAAAGACTCCCCCAACAAAACCCCAATTTCGCAACTCTATTGCGTTAGATTCCCTCTTTTCCAGAAACTTAGGACCAATGTATTCATCGTAAGTGCATTTAATTAGATAAGGAATACCAAGATAACTCACAGGTACACGCTTAGAAGCAGGGATATAGCACTTTGGCAAGGCAAGGCTAAGCGCCGCAAATCCAGCGAATGCTCCATTTGATGTGGCACAACAGTCAAAACGTGTATTTGTCTTGGTGCTGCTTAGTTGACTACTGAATAAGTAGGCAAAACTACTAAAAAATCCCGCTCCCGCGTAGAGAATCAAACCGTTTTTCCACCCAATAACATCTACAATGGGTTTGACCAGAAGAAATGATGCAAATGAATTCAAGATCGCATCAGAAGTCTTATGAACGTACACACACGAAAGTGGATTCGGAAAAAAGGAAGTACATTTGGTTAGAAACACATCTCTCATCACCATAGGCTTTGAGCTGCGCAGCATTACAGAATTATCAGCGTAGCTGTCTTTGTGATAAAGCAGAAAAAGAGTCTGGTCGCTTGTAAGAGTCATCGCGAAAAACATTGAAGCATTGCTTGCCACCGTGTGAGTCGCCATCGCAGAGAGGACTTATTATCTGCCATTTATAAATCAAGAAAAATAAAAAAAAACAAGGGGGAAAAAAAAACAAAGTCAATAAAAAGAAGAGAAAGAATCAAAACAGGAAGAAAAAATAAATGATATTGAGATCAAATAATAATAATAATAATAATAATAATAATAATAATAATAATAACACACACAAAAACAAAAAAAAAGAGACCAGAAAGAGAATGAGAATACATATATATATATATATATATATATATATTGCATGATTTCACATGCAAATGAAGAAATACCTCAACATATATACAGAGAGTATTACTTTTTCAATAGATAGAAACACTACTGCATGTTGTGCTTCCTTCTAGCCATAGCGCCAGCTCCCGCGAATACCACCGTTTCCATTATGTCCCACATACTTTTGCAGATATTCTCAAAATACTAGAGACATAAAAACAAAAAAAAAAGTGACATCCTATCACATTTTTTTTTTTTTTTTTTTGAAGGGTGGTTCCCAAACTCTTCACTCGGAATACCAACCAAAAAAAGATAGAAAAGACGTTTAAAAATCCATCTTTCTGTATTCCTTTTCACTTTTGCTATCATCCGTATTTACGCTGGACTTCTGCCTTATTTGACGAATTACGGCATAGTCACAGAAATAATTGAAGTTTCAAAAACAAAAAAAAAAAAAAAATGATGACGTAAGAGGGAGAGAAGGAATAAATAAATAAGTAAATAAGAAAAAAAAAATGAGTGAGAATGAGAGTGACAAACAAACATGTGTCCTCCATCTCTACAACCATACATTTTCTTCACCTGCCTTATACCGTTTGAGTACATTTTTCTCTACGTTGAACCTAATAATAACAATAACAATAATTATCAACCATTTCATTATCTTCTCTTCCCGCCATCACAGTTTGCTAGCTGTGATGTGTGGGTTGTACACCATCATCTGCTCACGCAGTGTATTATTATCAGCGCGGAATCGCATAAGCGTAAAAATAGGCGTTTTGCGGAAGGCCCCGCCGTCAGCTGCATGAATGGCCTCAACGCCTTTGAGTGCCGCCGCGTCGCACACCGCCGCCATTTCCACCACCGTCGCCCCAACAATGCCGGCAAGTCGCAGCACAGACACCGCCGTGCGGCCACATCCCACAAAGTCTTCCACAATCAACACACGTGCGTTGCTACCAACACTGCCGTTGCGAATCGACTGCGAAGGCGGTAACTCGTTCAGTTGCTGGCTCTCACGCACAAAGGAAGCAGGGAATCGCTTCGTCTCACGCACAAGTACAAGCGGAAGACCAAGTTCAACCGCCAGCGGGGCGCCAATGAGGTATCCGCGGGACTCCACAGCAAGAATGTGTGTAGGACCGGCATCGCCCATAGCGCGGTAACGCTGTGCGAGAAATTCAATTACTTTCCGAAATAACATGGGTCTTTCCGTCACACTGCTAACGTCAAATAGACGAGTAACGTTTCGCCCAGACGATGGCGCAACCTCACTGAAGACATTCGCATACAGATCCTTTGCTAGGGGATGGGATTCGTCAAGCAAAAAATGATTGGGTGCACATTCACAAACTGACATCACAATTACTTCCTACACCAAAGAAAAAAAATAAAAATAAAAAAAAACAATATATATATATAGAAAATAGGAAAAAAAAAAACAAATCACGTGCTTACCAATGCAAAAAAAAAAAAGGAATAAAGAATAAAAAGAAGAAAGATTGCCTCCGTGAACCCATACCAAAAACAAGTAAAAGAAAAGAAAGGGAGAATGAGAGAAAATCCAGTGTATAAGAAATAGGTAACTTTTCCATAAGAGAAATAACAATAAGAATAAGAAGAGAAAGAAAGAAAGAAAGAAAGAAGGAAATCTTTTCCAAAACTTCAGTATAACATCTCGATCACTCAAATTGAGTGAGTTGAGTTTTAGTCAAAAAACAAAGGCCACTGGGGGGATCGAACCCCCGACCTCCGTCTTACTAGGACGGCGCTCTGCCATTGAGCTAAGCGGCCACGGTGATGAATCTCATTATTGCTTTTCGTTTTTCTTTCAAATATTTAGAATCGAAATAAAAATATTCCCTCATTTTTTTTTTTTTGTCTTTTCTCTTACTACTTTATATTCTTTTTATGTTTACTTTGCTAATTTGGAGTTTTTTTTTTCTTTTTTTCTTATTCTTTCGGTGCAAATGTTGCCTCCTTTTTAATTGACGCCAATCACCAGCGATGGTGAAGAAACTTGGACACTGAAGCGCAAAACAATTTTCCAGTCTTGCTTGCCACATCAAAAATGGCATAATCGTAATAATAATATTCTATATCGATAAAGGTTTTTGTAGAGAGTGTCTTTCTTGACTTCTCTTACTTGGTGATATCAACCAAAAATCCCGAAAACCGTCGACAGCAGGGTTCGAACCTGCGCGCGAGATCGCATTTGATTTCAAGTCAAACCCCGTAACCACTTGGGTATGTCGACCGACGCGTCCGAAAGAGTGGAGATAATTCACTCTTTAAAATTTTATTTCACAATATAACCGGCATCATCATCATCATCACTGTGGAACTAGTCAAGAAAAAAAAAAAAATGGAAGGTTTGGAAAAAAAAAAACAACAATAAAAAGAAAAAAATAAAGACCGGAAGTATAAACACAGAGGCAAATCCATAAAAAAAAAAAACCACAAGAAGGGAAAAAAAAAGAGAATTATTCAACACAAGAGAATGAAATAATGGACGATGATCAACATAAAGAAAAATATTAAAAGAAAGATTGCTAAAAAAAAAAAAAAAAAAAACAATGGTTCAAATTATCTTTTATTTCCACTTTTTTCTTATATTGTTTTCCGTACACTTTATTGGGGTTTCTTCTTTCAACTGCCCCCCACCCCACTCCCTATCACATGAAAGACATATATATATTTACAATTATAGTTTGCTCAACGCCTCACTGCAACTTATCGCACGTTTACCAGTATAGTTCAACAGATCTCCACAATTCTCATCTGTTAACGCAGTCTCATCCACGAATGAAAAAAATGGAATCTTGCTGTAGCGACCATTGCGGTATGAATGTGACAACTCCACACCCTTTAGGAATGTGAGTTGAAGCAGCGAAACTACCTCAAGAACAGTAGCGCCACTTGCTTCAGCAAGCTGAAGACCAGAAAGTGCAGTTCCTCCTGTCGCGAGGACGTCATCCACCAGCACAACACGTGAATTCTTGTCAATACTTCCAAGACGAATCGTCATGACTTCTGGTTCTACCTCCTTGTACTCTTTTTCGTAGGGTTCACTCTTAATGAGAACACCCGCATTCTTGTTCGCCTTTCGCATGAGCACAAAAGGTATTCCTAGTTCCACTGCAATTAGAGGTCCAAAAAGAAAGCCACGCGCATCGAATCCCATAATATGTGTAGGAGGTTGTGGAAAACTTTTGTATCGTTGCACAAGAAAGTCACGTATTGAACGCATCACGAGTGGGTTTTCCGTAATACTCCCAACATCTGCAAAACGAGGAACGTCGTGAGGAGAAAACTTGGGTGAGTACCATCTGTATGCTTTTTGAATCTGCGCATGTAAAGGTGAATTGCGCGCGAGGGTGTAGTTGTATGGAGTGATCTCAACAAGAGCCATTTCCAGAAATATAAGAAATAATTTCCTAACAAAAAAAAAAAAAGAAAAACTACTACTCTCAACGGAAAAAAAAGTGTAAGGAAAAAAAGATGAAAAAATTCTTTTTTTTTTTTTCTTTCACCATAAATAATAGCTTACCCAAACACCCAAAAAAACATAGATACACAGATACAATAATAATGAAAAAAAAAGGTAGAAGGTCAAGTTAGAAAGAAGTACAATCATTGCATGATTTCACCCCTTTCAACAAAGAATAACAAGAACCAAGTTGCATTGTATATATATATATATATATATATATATATATATATATATATATATATATACCCTCATTCTTTTTTTCTTTATCTTGTTATCTCTATTGTTCACTGGATGCGAGCGACACGTTGCCTTTCTAAAGAAAGAACATGCTCAACATCTTCGTCATTAATTAGTTCTCGCCCAAAACTTGCTGCACAAGAGCGCATCAAGGCAGCAGCCATGGAAAAGGAATTGTTGTGAATAAAGGAATCACGGTTGTTCCATCGTGGTTCTTGCTCAGCGAAACTAACAAGTCTGTCTGCGAGACGGCGTGACTTGCAGACATCCCCAGTGTCAAATCTGCGGCATACACACCGAACCTGGGCCAAATATTCTCGTACTTCATCTGGTTTAAGTGCAGGAGAAGTTGCCGCATCCATTAAAGTCTCTGGTTGCCATCGTACTGAGACAGCTAGGCGCAGAAACTCAATGTCATTCTCTGCCCGGTTTGTGGATAAGGCAAGAAAGTTGAGATCAATAGGTAACTCATGCGTCTGGTATGGATATTCCAGTGGTAGTACTTGTCTGTGCATCACAGCAAAAATACCCTCATGTACAACATTACTTGCCTTTGAAATAACGTGACAGTCCAATGTAACATGTGTTCCATTAGCTAATTGTAAAATACCGGAACGCAAAACATTGACATTGTGATCCTGTTTCGGTGCGATGCGAGTTTTAGAGTTCAACAGTTGCTTCTCACCAAGCAGAACTTCACCCACAGGTGCTACACTCCGCATCCACATGGACCATTGTTCTGGATTAATACCATCTCCCTCCACACGAAGGGGTACATCTCCAATAGGAGTGGCACTTTCACGCGTGATAACACGCGCACAAAGATGCAGAAGAATATACTCCGCTAACAAAACATCACCTTGGCAAATAGTATTTGCAAAGTACTGCACCACAAAAGGACGTTTGTTCTCAAAATAGGGAGAGAGTATAGGGCGTTCTGGGGTAGTGTAAACATGTCTCCAGGACATGCATATCATACGGGAAAGTAATGCAGGAGGAAGATTTTCCGCATGCCACGTGCCGAAGATTTCAAACTCATCTAATTCAGCAGTATCATTTACGCAGGAAGAATTCGAATTGTCTTCTATGAAACCAAAAAAATCAACCACATCATTTAACTTTAATTGTTCTCTTTCGAATCCACCATGATGAATAACAGTTACAATACACGCAGTGTGAAGAGTGGTACTAAGTGGTGGATGTGGTAAATTTAACTGCTGGTATAATGGTACACTCACCTCTAAATTATGTTCATTTTTCTCATGAGATAATGTCTCTTCACGACGTATTCTTGTGTCACGTTCTACAGTGGTGTCCTGTTGTTCTAGTGGTGGATTGTGATCATCAAATGATTTCCCTTCCGGTGAGCGTCCTCGTCGTTTGCGGTCTATTGAAGCAAACTCCATTTCAACGTGTGGCTGATGTGTTGCAGCCCTATCCTCTTCACCGTCTTGCTGATTATAAAAGTGTGCGTTTCCTGGAACTGGAATAACATAGTAACGTGTGGCTTCCAGCAGGGCCACGTCGTCTGTGTGTGTGTCACCGAAGAAGTCAGTGGGAGAAGCACGATAGAGCGAGACGACCGGCTCTACTTCCTGCAGCATCCCGCGGCAACGACGGAGACCAGTGAGACCCGTACGGGTACTATTATTATTACTATTACTACTTCCCCCACCATTAATACTATTACTACTATTGCTAGTGTTAGTAAGTGTTGGTGTTGGTATTGGAAAGATGTCGGGAGGCGGGTGTTGGAGGATTTGCGGAAGACGTTCGTGCACGAAGCGGAGGGCAGCCGCCACATCATTAAACTCATCGCTCTTCTCGCGCAGCAATTCACCCATTGCCGCCTCGCTGCCCACCCGGTCCATTATTCCCACAGCAGAGACCACGGAACAGGAAGCACACTCTAAAAAAAAAAAAAAAAACAAAGGGTGAGAATGAGAGTGAAAAGAAAGAAGTAGAAAATGAATAGTGAAATGCATCTAATCTCTCCCCCCCCCTTTTTTTTTTTTTACAACTACATCATTTTTGTCGGCGTAAATTATACGTCGTTCAATGCAAATTTGAAAAATTAGATAGGGTTCCAGTGAATAAGTACAACGACAATATGTACAATAATAAAGGCAATAACAACAATAAAAAAGAATTATATGTATACACATATATACACACATAAATAAATAAATAAATAAATAAATATACATATACATACATATATATATATATATATATAATATTATGGTAACCATACATTAACAGGTTCCTTTACATGTGGAGCGGATGACAGACATTCAATCACACGTGAAACAAATACCTCATCACCCTTCTGGAAAGGTTCATATCGCTTTAAAAGAGCGCGAAGTAGTTTATGTGCCTCTAACAGTCCATCTTTCCATTTTCGCAATTTGTCAGCAACTTCACAATCACGTTGATGGAGAACGTAACCAATTGTAGCATCGTCCAAGGCCTTTAACCATGTTTTCGACTCAATACGATCACTTTGAGTTTTCTCAACATCACGCATATATTGAGAAAACATCAAAGAAACCGCCTCATATTGTTCACTCAAGCGAGAAAGTTCCTGCGATTTGGCACAATGCTTTGCACTAAGAGACCTATTCTCCATGGATACCTTGGCATTGCTTAGAAGAAGAGATTTGATTTCATCATACATGGATAATTCAAAGTTCATGCGATCAACCAATTGTTCCGCACCGCTCTTCACTAGCTGACGTTGTTTCTCCTCGATATGGTGGAAACACCGACGATTAAACATCGGTGACCAATCGCACTGGAGTCCTACAAAAGTTTCTCGTTCAAGTAAGAGAAACATTTCACGGCGCCTCAATACATCTTGCCATAGACTACATTCATTTTTGGCTATTGATAAATTAATTTTAGTATCCTCCAGGGATTGTTTCACAGCAGCTAACTCTTTGTTCTGTTCAGCGTAGAGCTCCAACTCCTTCTGAGCAAGGAAGAGACTATGACAAAGGTCTTGCGTCACCCGTTCATACTCAGCTTCTCTCTCTTTGGCTCGCTGTTTCTCCTTGAGAAGTCGGTCTTCCATGACAGAGAATCTTGCCTGCATAACCTTCATTTCTTTGTCATATTTTGTGCGGGCTTCTTCTAGCATCTTTTCAGACATATGGACCTGCTGTTTAAGACATTCATTCTCCTTAATAACATAAAAAGATTCTCGCTTATGAATTTCACGTTCATGTTCACGAGATGCTTCCAACTCCGTTATTCGTTTTTTCAATTCCATAATGATAGAAGAGAGTTCACACTCGCGAAGAAGGGCTTCTTGAACTTCGTTAGAACGCATACTTTTTACAGTTTCATACTTTTCTCGCAAACGCATGTTACTTGATTCCTTTTTATGACCATCTACTATCATTGAATTCTCGTGCCTCACATTCTGCTGCTGTCCAGGAGTTGTTGTAGAATCTAAAGGGCACGCAGCTTTACCTACTAGCATCACTTTGTGTGAGATTTTTTACACTACCCTAGTTGACTGAGATAACACCACCTTCTATAAACTTTCTTTCGCAAAGTACTCAGGAGTAATAGACAAGCGTCGTTGCGCTGTTCCCTTGCAGCAATCATGTGATTAAAACAATACAAAGAAAGAAAAAAAAGAGAACGAGAGAAAATAATATAATAAACAAGTCAAGAAATAATAATAATAATGACAAATAAAGAGTAACACAAAACACGTCTTGGTTACACAATGAGTATAGAAGAGAAAACAGAAATCAATCAAGTATAAAAAAGAAAGAAAACAATCCGACAGAAGTAGAGTTTGCTCGACTTAAATCATGCGGGCGAGGAAGCGGTTAATGAGGGTGTCGCGGTTACCGTAGTCACCGCCCTCAACAAAGTGGCGACGCTTCTGGCGCATGCCACCGGCAGGTGGGGCCAGCTTGAAGGGCCACAGACCGTTTGTCACCTCGCGGAAGTGCTTGCCACCAGTGTAGATCTGGTTCACGACGTCCTCGGCGCACACGACATCCTCGTTGTTGTACTTGTCCTTGATCATCTGGTTGTCGTTGATCTTCACACGCTGTCCATTGATCTTGAGGTGACCGCGCTTGTACACCATGGCACGGACGGTGCTCAGGGATGGGTAACCGTACGCAATGTAGGGCTCAACGGCGCGGAGCATGTTCTCCATGGGCTTGTTCAGGCGCACGAAGACAGTGTTGAAGATCTGGCGCAGACGCAGAAGCTGCAGGATCTTGCGCTGCTTGGGTGCCACCTTGGCGATACCGCGAATACGGGTGACCACGGCCACCTTTGGCTTTGTCTCGAGGTAGTAGTTACCCTGAGCCTTGGCGAGACGGCGGAGGTGCACGAGCTTCTTCTCGGTGGAGCGGTACTCACGGGAGTACTTGAGACCACGGGAGTAGGCCAACTTCTTCAGTGCAGTCTTGGCAGCCTTGTTGGCATCAATTGCCTTCTTGAAGTTCTCCGTCTGCTGCTGCTTGAATGCGGCACGCTTGATGGCGGACTCTGGGGCAGGGACAGTCTTCGCGGGCATGTTCTCTATCTTCTTCTAGGAAGAAAAACAAATAATGGAAAAAGTTCGAACATTATATATATACGTCTAATTTTTTTAGGGGTAGTGGAGTTTTTGTTATATACAGTAGCACTAAAAATAATAGCTTTTTCTGTGAAACGAGTGTCAGTCGTCTCAACAGAGATATTCTCACTCTGTGAGAATATGATGTTATATAAGAAGTAAAAACAAAGTAAAATAAAACAGAAATTCAATCAAAAATGCACATTCACGGTAAATACCTAAATCATGCGGGCGAGGAAGCGGTTAATGAGGGTGTCGCGGTTACCGTAGTCACCGCCCTCAACAAAGTGGCGACGCTTCTGGCGCATGCCACCGGCAGGTGGGGCCAGCTTGAAGGGCCACAGACCGTTTGTCACCTCGCGGAAGTGCTTGCCACCAGTGTAGATCTGGTTCACGACGTCCTCGGCGCACACGACATCCTCGTTGTTGTACTTGTCCTTGATCATCTGGTTGTCGTTGATCTTCACACGCTGTCCATTGATCTTGAGGTGACCGCGCTTGTACACCATGGCACGGACGGTGCTCAGGGATGGGTAACCGTACGCAATGTAGGGCTCAACGGCGCGGAGCATGTTCTCCATGGGCTTGTTCAGGCGCACGAAGACAGTGTTGAAGATCTGGCGCAGACGCAGAAGCTGCAGGATCTTGCGCTGCTTGGGTGCCACCTTGGCGATACCGCGAATACGGGTGACCACGGCCACCTTTGGCTTTGTCTCGAGGTAGTAGTTACCCTGAGCCTTGGCGAGACGGCGGAGGTGCACGAGCTTCTTCTCGGTGGAGCGGTACTCACGGGAGTACTTGAGACCACGGGAGTAGGCCAACTTCTTCAGTGCAGTCTTGGCAGCCTTGTTGGCATCAATTGCCTTCTTGAAGTTCTCCGTCTGCTGCTGCTTGAATGCGGCACGCTTGATGGCGGACTCTGGGGCAGGGACAGTCTTCGCGGGCATTGTTTGTATCTCGGCCGTGCTATGCTGGTATTAGGGTAGAGAGAGAGAAGAAGAAGAAGAAAAGAATTTGCAAGAAAAATAATAATAACCACCAATAATAAAAAATATTAAAGAGAAAAAACAAATATAAGATGTGGAGAAATCAAAGAAAAATAAAACAAAAAAGGGGGTGGATAAAAGAAAAAAAGAGAACCAATAGTAACTGAAGGAAAAAAAAAAATGGCCTCAGAAAAATAGATATATAAACATCACAAGAGAAAATCGCTGGACTTTGAAACCATGACACTTCCTCTTATACAGTCAGTCTTAGATATGCTTCCCAACGATTTCGTTGTATAGGAGGCTACGGACTATATAAAGAAGAGGAATAGCGAAAAAACACCAAGACAAAAAGCTATGAATAAGCAGCGATGAAGATGTAAAGAAAAAATCAATTAATCCAAGATTCATAGAGTTATAAAGTGAGGCTACAGTAAATCGTGAAGCGTCGCTTCCAAGAACAGTCGCTGTGGCACATGCAAAGGGCACAATAAGAAGTACTTCAAGTGGAGTAACGAGAAAATTAATTGCAGTTGCCAATGCAATCTGTAAAGCACAGCAGTGCAACATTCTGCAAAATATGAGAGTTACAATACTTGTAAACATAGGCACTGGGAATATACCACCGAGAATACCAGCAGTCGCAGCAAGAATCAACTTACGCGCATTTAGCTGTTGAAATGGCACTACAATACCACGATGCGCAGCATCTCGCAATCTTCGCATCATTTAATCCTGTTGCAACCCTCTTCAATGAAGAAAACAAAAAGAAAAAAAACGACGTGCAGAGTCAAAATATACAAAGAATGAAGGATAGTAAAAAAAAAAAAGAGATGAAATTATTATTTACTATTATTCAACATATGATGAGAGAGAGAGAGAGAGTGAGTTATACAACATACATAGCATACATTGCCACCCACCCACCCCTACACACAAAAAAAAATAAAAACATTGAGAATAATAATACAACCATCTCAAAAATTCGTCTCGCTCATTATCGCCTGATTTATTTCTTCTTTTTCTTTTCCTCTGTTTTTCATTTTGAGCAAATAATGATAACACTTTCATTTTGCGGTAATTTCAACACCCTCCTTCTGCATCTTATTTCGTAGAGCTTTCTCTGCCAATATATCATCTGCCATTTCCTCTGTGCATTCCTGCACCTCAACAACTTCAGGGATCCAATGCATAAGCATACGTTCAATCCCATTTTTTAGTGTTACACCAGAGGAGGGGCATGATTTACATGCTCCCTCTAACATCACAAATACAGTCCCATCATCCATGTCTATATACCGCACATTTCCACCATCAGCCTGTAACATGGGACGAATACGTGTGGCCAACAGCTCCTTTACTGCAAGGATTACTTCATCGTCATCCTCCTCCGGCTCCGTGTCATTGTTATGACCGGTGATAAGTTCCTCTCCCTCTTCAGAGAGAATATTCATTTTACTCTCTGCAAACTGTGTAATACACTCCTTAACAAGTGTCGATAACTCCTCCCAATCAACCATAGGATCCTTTCGCACTGTAATATACTCATCAGCGAGGTATAATGCGTCTACTCCGGGAATTCCAAAAAGCATCTCTGCTAATGGTGACTTGTAAGCGTGTCCTGCGTTTGGAAAGTCCATTGACAATCCAGGTTTCAGGAATGATAAATCCATCGAGTAGAAGCGAAGACAGTCTGGGTTTGGTGTCTCGTTTGTTTCAACCAAAATAAACCGCCTTGCCAGACATAATGGGGCCAATGTGGAATTTATAACAACTTGCTCTTGTTGAGATTGTTGGCGTCTAAAGAGAGTATTGCCAGAGTAACGCATTGAGCGGAGTGTTGAGGGTGGCACCCATCGGGCTATAGAGAGACGGAGAGCAGTACGGGCGCTAAGAAGATCACATCGAGTGGGCCGCCACATCTTGGATTTCCCACCCACTATACATATAAATAAAACTACAACATAATAAAGAGGTTTTTTTTTTTTTTTTTTTTTTTTTAAAAAAAAAAAAAAAAAAAAAAAAAAAAAAAAAAATAAACACACAGAAAAAAAAAAAAAAAGAGTAAACATGGTTCAAAATAAATAAATAAACACATTAAAAAAGAAAAACACACACAAAAAAAATGAAGAATAACAAATAACAATTTCACATCCTTACCGAAAGAAACACAGAAATGCATCACTTTAGCTTCCATAGAGTATTTGATAAAGTTATACAGTAACACGTGCAGGAGCATTTTCACGTACAAAGGCAGCAACTTCTTCACTATTTATGAAATCTTCTTTTATGGGCACATCATCTAGATCGGGACAGGGGAACAGTAAAATAGCTGCAATAGAACCTAACTGTGTTAACTGTTCTCCGGTTACATGATTACTAGAAAAAATACTAACCCTCCCTCCACCCTGTTTCACAAATTGGACAAGAGATAAGTAAAAGTGTCGCTCAATTGGACTACTAGATCGAAATAAGGCATCGCTAATCATAAGTGTACCCACAGCACCCATCATTGCGGCTTGATGTACAATCTGTGGCGTATACACACATCGATCTGGATCATTATTCATGGTGTCTTGAAAATTCTGCCAAATTCTAATTTCATCACTACATCGTGTGGAATCCATTTGTCTTGCGACGCTGGGATCTGCAAAGGCCGTGCGTAGCGCATCATTTGTAATATCTGTTACCTTTACAAGAACCACTTTGGAAAGATTCTTATGAATAACTCGAAGTGGACCAGTCTCTGCTTGCATTGTCACACGTTCCATGTATTGCTTAAACTCTTCTCGAATATGGGCGGGAGAACAGATAAGTACCAGTTTTATTTTTTCAAAATCAATATGTGCACATATAGCATCCATAACATGTTTAAAAAAACGTTGAATACTCTTATCTCGTGCCGTTCCATCATTTTTATGTTTTTTTGCAATCGTTATTTCCACTTTTGCCTTGGTATACATAAAAGAAGGTGTTACCAGTAGCACATTGGCTTTTCCATTATCCATGAGAACGGCCGCAGTATCTGCTTTAGATTCATTATCGCAAGCTTCCTGCAGACGGGTATTTATAATTTCATCCCACTCCTTCTTAATAATCGTAACATCCTGCGGAGGAAATGTATGTATAGATAATGTGTGGTGAGCACCTAACTTCACATAGTCATTCTCGGATACATTAACACCATGAAGACGGAGTTCATCCGGAGAAAAATCCACTTGTCGCACTTCTAGTTCTAATGTGATGACATGCACTTGAGCGGTTTGTGTACCCGTTGATGTTTCCTTCGCCACTTTGCGTTTCGTCTTTGTTCGCACACGATCACCGGGAATCACTAAGTTATATAAATGCCACAAATCTTCACTCGTGCTTAGTGACACTTTCACTTCAACTTTACCATCAGATCTAATGGCTTTTCGCAACAGACGCATCCTAACACGTTCCCTTAACCCCCTTTTTTATTGCAATGGGAAAACAACAAAAAAAAAAACAAAAAAAAAAGAAATACAGATACAAAAATCACTTCAAGAGAGAAAGACAAAAAAAAAA